ATGTGTCTACACATGCATGCCCATACTGTGCAGTAACTATTTTGATTTACACCTACTTGAGCATAAATTTGATACTATCATCACACAGGTGTCAAACTTATGCCTGATTAGGTACTGCACAGTAACACACATGTAGCTGCCTTACTGCATAGTAATACTCTGTATGTGGACTGACTTGGGACCTAGGTACTGCTTGGATCCCCCCAGCTTCCAGTGGCTCTTCCCCACCTTCTTCCCTTCTATGCTATGCTGCTTCTGGCAGCAGGTAACACAGGTAAGCTGTGGGGACGTGCACCAAGCAGCAGATGCCCAGCAAGGTGGAAGTGGGGGCAAGCTGCAGCCAGGGGGCTCCTGACCCAGTACATGGGGCTCCAGCTCCCACCTGCTTTCCACACAGGTGGCTGCTCATCACAGTCTTTTATCATATCTCTTTTCCCCAGCTGTCCTCTCCATCTGTTGTTGGCACTTGCAAGCCACCTTAGTGTGGAGTTTGGCAACAGAATGAGAGAAAAAAAGTATGTCAAATTAAGAGTGAAAAATAGAAAATGAGTATAAAATGGAACAGAGAGTAGGCAGACCCAGAGTGACAAATAAATTCATAGAGAGACTGTGAGAAGGCGGTATGTGGAGGAGGAGGAAGAGCAAACATCTCCAAAGGGAAATGGGTACAAAACATCGGCCCATTTCTGCCAGACTAACTACTATGGGGATTACCTGGTTCCTGGTGTACAGAGAGATTTCCATTTAGCTCATTTCCTCTTTTCTCTAATTTTAAGAAATTTTAAAAAGTCACATCGAAATTATGGCAGAACAGATTTCACAAATTGGAAGTAGTCTTGGATATTTATTTGTTTTGCAATAGAAAAACAGAGCTTGGAATATTATTATTTCTTCTAGCACAATTTCAGTGTTTTTGATGGTTATTGCACATACTAACCCTTTGCTGGATTTTTATTAATGAGAATGTGGTGTCAGCAAAAAGTAATGCTTTCTTAAGGGTTTAAAATCTGAATCACTGTAGTTAATCAAGTTGATGATGAGACTGGTGCAGAATACTCTGTTTCTTATTTTCTAATTGTTCTACTTGAATAGAAGTATATTTGATAGCCTTCAAGATTAGTCACTCTAATTGCTGTATGCTGAAGTCACTCTTATGCCATGTCAACGTTCCTGAGCTAATCTGCCATGTTACTAACACTTGCAGGAGAATCAGTTTTTGAGTGTCCAACCTGAGATACTTAAATGGTATGCAACACGGAGCACTCATTTTTTGAGGCATGCGCTCAGAGACATCAATTTTATTATGCATAATTCTAAGGAGAAGGGAGATGGATAAAAGAAAAAGAATAAGAAACTAGTACTATTTGTGCTTTGGAGAGTGACCTGTGAACTGACTCTCTGACTGTACTGAGATATTCTGATTAGATGGCTGAGGTCAAACTAGGAGTGCTCTAAAATGTTTCCTCAGACACCAAGTTATCTAGGTGTATTACTTATAAAAGCCCAGATTTGGTTGTTTTCAATTTTTCCATCTATAACTGAAGATTTTTTAACTGTGATCAGGAGCAGTAAGTACCCTCCTACCTGTCAACTTTGACACATCATTTTATGAATATTAAAGATTGTTACATTCAATCATCACATTTCTGTGTGCAGAGTTAGCTTTAACAACTCTGTAGTCTTTTATAAAGTAGTTTGCCCTTCTCACAACTTTCTCTCAGCTCTCCCTATCTGTCCTGTACATCTACTGTTGCTACTTGCAAGCTACCTTGGTGCAGAGTTGGGCAATGGAGTGATGGAAAAGAAGTGAGTGAAAAATAGAACAGGGGGTGGACAGAGTGACAAACAATTTCATAGACAGACTGTGAGAAGATGGGGCATGGAGGAAGACCAAACATCTCTAAAGGTAAATGGGTACAACCCACTTCTGCCAGGATACTGTGGACATTATCTGATTCCTGACTCATACATACACAGGCTTCCATTTAGCTCATTTCTTCTTTTTCTAGTTGTAAGAAATTTTTAAAAGTCATCAAAATTATAGGACAAAAGGATTCACAAATTGGCAGTAGTCCTGAACACCTGCATTCCTATGTGGAGAACTATATGTCTAACTTGGGCATCCCTGTCTGAAAACTCAGCCTATAATATTTTAGTAGTGATAAAAAATGTAATTAGCTTAAATGGCTAGTGGTGTTTCACCAACAAACTATATTGATGATTAAGCACTTTGGAATGCATATGATCAATATTATTTATTATTTATAGCACAGTAGTACACCAGGGTCTCAGCCAGGCTTTGAGGACTCTTGTACAAGGCATGGTATGAACCTCTGTGACAGTCCTTGTTGCAAAAGTTGTAACATACTAAGCACATTGGGAGTACATTGACTTTTTGCTTTTGTTCTCTGATACTTTTTCTTGTGAGATGCTTATTCAGCATTTTAATAGGATGTGAGAACTGCAGCTGACTTTTACACACTATAATCGGAGATGGTGCTCAGCTCATCACACATACTAGATAAGAACTCAGCCCTCACAGTTTGCTTTACTGAAATGTAAAGCTTTTATGAGGGGAAGCCCAGGGAAGCCCAGTTTTCTTCTGAATTTTTTTTATAGTGACTCACAAACCTTCTGCATCAGTTAATTTAGGTGTAACTTGGATTCAAATACTAGAGTCTGTTCTTTGGCTTGCTGAGTCACGAGCAGAGTTTTGCAGAGTGAAGTAGTTCAGGAGAAAACAGTTGCTACTATCTTTTTGCTCATTTTCAGAAGCATGTAGAGTGGTTTTCAGCTGCTTTTGAAGTTTTAGTGCTGTTGGAAATCAACAGTTTACTTGCATTTATTAGTTCTGAGATCCAAAAATGAAAGACAGCTGCTAAAAAGCCTATATTACACTACTAATATAATTGTGATCCAATGTGCCTGTTGGTGGGGTATTTAAGCAGTAAGCACAGACCACATATCTTAAGGTAACAGTATAAACACACAAGGGACCACAGCTCTTCCTCTTCTCCATCATTCCAAAATGTAAAGAACCCCATTTCTGTCTCCTGTTATCATCTTCCCTTTTTGATTCCAGTCTCTGGAACCATTTCAACACAGATTTTTCAATAGGATTATTTTCAAGTTACACATGTGTTGAAATGATTCCAGAGATACTAGCCACTTCCCACGGGCCTAGTAATTTCCACAGCCAGACAGGCCCTATGGTCAAGTTTCTACAAGGTAGTTGAAAGATACTTTTCTTGTGCACCTGGCCTTATGTGGAGTACAGTTCAGGGAGATCAGGGGATCTGGACCCTAGGATAAAGTCATCCCTAGCATAACAGTCCTTGGTTCAACTGCATTCATTTTAATGTTATTCCAAGTTAATTTGTGGTGTTCCTTTATTAAAGCCAATGGGGTGATACTAAAGATAAATTTTGTTCCAATTTAATCTCAGAACCCAGTAGCAGGGTTGGAGTTTTGTTGTAGCCATGACGGCCCAGGAAATACGTGTGAAGATAGGATTTTTGGTAATATATTTATTGGATCAATGGTATAGTTGGGAGTGATGTAAGACAAGATTTCCAAGAGCACCTAAGGAAGGATACTTTGTGCCCAAAAGCTTCTCTAACAACTCTCCCAACTATACATTTGGTCTAATAAGAGATATCACTAAAAAAAAACCCTTTCTTATCTCAAACCCTCACAATTATGAAGCCCTTACTTTCTGGGGCTAGACCCAAAGCCAGTCTAAACTGACAGAGATCTAGTTGACCCTCTCTGTGCAGAAGTGACTATGATTCCCTCAACACCATTAGTTTTGTCACCTCTTTGTTTAGTGAGAGCAGATCCAGGGCCAGGTATATTTCTTATGGAATGTGAAGTCTGGATATATTGTAACACACCTTGTTTATTTGAGGGCAGCAGAGACAGCCTGCCCAAGCTGGGACTGACCTCAGCATACCCTGCCCACCTGCTTCTGCAAGCACAATCCAAACCCAGATACATGCCTTGGTCTCCAGCATGCTTGAGAGCAGCAGCAGCAGACGGATGCCTCAGAGTGTCTTCATGAATTTATTTCTGGGTGTGAAGTGCACTTGCAGGTGTAGATAGGCAGCTCTAGCACTGCTACCACTATGTAGACATAGGTGGAGCTAAGATTTTGAAAAAGGGAGGTGTGACCCTGTGATACCCTTTGCTGACAGGGGAAGCAGCTTGCCAAAGTGTGGTCCAAACTCCTTCCCCCTGGCTGGGCAGAGCCCCAGGCTTTGCTGCCCTAGGTGGTATATAGGAGCACGGACATTGGGTGAGGAAGCTGGAGCTGCCCCTTCCCTACCCTATCGTAGGGTCTAATCTGGGGAGGTCTAATCTGTCCAAAGCCCTACGTGATCCCAAGCCCACACGTGTGTGCTGCCCCCTTCTCCCTCACTGATATCTTGTGGGCTCCCACTCCCTGGACAGAGCGGGATGGAGTAGGGACGATATTACGCTGACTACTGGAGAGAGGCAGTGGGGTAGCAGTGTTATCTGCCACAGTCAGGGCTCTCCTATTCTAGCTGCTGGTGCTGTGGTACAGGTGCATGCTCTGGGTGCTGTGGCTGGGGATGGACAGTAGCATATCTGGAAGGATGAGTGGGGCATGAACCCTGAGCACCAGACAGGCAGCCCCGTGGGAGTCCATGCCATAAGGGCAGCTGAAACCAGCGTAGGGTGAGCCTATCCCTAGCTGCAGCAGCTGGAGCCTGTCCCTATACCCAGGGGTTTCTGGTGCCTCCTGAGTCTGGGGGGCGCAATTTGTGGGTGGGCCCAGGGGCAGGTCTGGGGACAGGCCAAATCCTCCATATCCAGTCCTATATTTCTGTGGCATGTCTTAGTGCCCTCTCCCCCTCAAGATGCTGCTGGTGCATGCGGCAAAAAAACTGCCCTGTCCTGAGCAGTGCTGACTTGGGGGCCAATCTCAGAGGAGGCATGTGCCCCCCTGGGCCCCTTCTACCAGTCACCTGTGCCTGTACCCATACTGCAGCTGGAGTACAGAGAGCCCAAGCTTGCTGCTAACCACCTCTGATGATTAGCACAATATTTCCCTCATTGACATAATGGCAGGTAAGACCACTTCCTTGTGAAATTGCTTTCAAATGCTTCTCAGGCTAACTGAGACAAGTTTTTATCTGTGGGTTATAGCCCGTATTCTGGAAAAAAAAAAGGCTTCGCAAAAATCCTTTGCATTTCAAAAAAATATTCATACAGCAGGCATATTTTGTCACAAAACCAAATTAACCAGTCTAACCATTTATTGTCTTTATCAGACCTTTGGTTGAAAAAAAGGAACCTTCAAATGTGAGAGTGAGGCTCTTCTTTCTTGGAAACCCAGATCCTATTGCCAGTAAATATGGAGATATCTTTTACAAAACGTCACTGATGATGTGGTCAAATTTGTTGAAAGTGGAGCAAGAAGTGTATAAAAAAGCACAGCACCAGAAGTGATCCAGCAGCACATCAGCAATAAGTTATCTTCATGAACATCTCAGCATAGGAGGTTGCTTTGAGGGTTAACCGAATTAGGTTAACCTTTGTCATCTAACTACGCTTGCTGTGTCTGTAAAGGAGGCAGGAAAGGCAGAGGGAGAGAATGAGAGTATATGCTGTTTTCAGGTCTGGTTGTTTCTTGATTCTGCTGTGCCTTTTCATGGTGGAAGGCAAAAAGACATTCTCCGGCAAGAACACCTGTCGAAAAGGACTGCTATCTGCAGTGACAGAGAACTTGTATATCGAAGCAACTAGTATAAAATCATCTGTTCCAGTAAGTTGAATGGATCGGCTAGTAAAATTATTTATTCATTTTCACTTGTGGATAGGTGTTTCTGTGGCTTCATCGTATCAGAGCTCCTGGTGACTTAGTTGAATCACCATAGCGAGGTAGAGAAGTATCATTATTCTGTTGGGTATAACGTGGAGGCAAAGCGAGAAGTTTGGTAAGTTTACCAAAATCATGAAGGAAGTTTGTGGGAGAACCAGGAGAAGAATTCAGACTTGTTTTGCATGAACGAAACCATCGTTATTGTCATCATTTATCAGTGGTATTAGCTGGGCGTCCCAGTTACAGATCAGGACCGTGGTTTATTTGTATTAAACTCTGTACTCACATAGAATAGACAGCCAGCACATCTTTCTTTCCTTTGATCTGGAAACCAGATACATATTAACCTCAATTAATATTTTCTCATTATTTTTAATAGAAGGATTTAATCAAGAACAGAAGATTGCTAAAAAAGACAACAAAAAAGATGTTTATGGTAAGAGATTCTTGGCTTTTCAATTTTTTTATTTTGTATATAAGCTATTATAAATTAGCTGCGAATTGTTGATCATAAAGAATGGCTTTTGAATTGGCTATGTTTATCTCTGAGAGACAAATTTAACTGAAACCCATGTATTTAGAAAATTCTTACCTATGATTAGATTATTAACTTTGAAAGAAAGTTTTTTACAGACCTTAAACATTGACAGTGTAGGGATGGGCGGGGAAAGGGGAAGGACAAAGTAGTTACAGTGCCAAAGTGACAGCAGTTGGAGGCATTTTAAAGTAACAGTTGGCATGCTTAGAAGAGAAATACTGGGAAGACTCATGGTGTTGTGTTGTGGGGTACATGCTGACAGTGCTCCCCATTATGCTTTCCAAGGATTTACTAATTTATCTGAGGGTCATGGCCATAGTCATATTCTTAGATATGCTCTGTTAGGGGTGTGGAGTAGTGGAGGAGACCCAATACCTCCAAAATAACACTCAGGAAACCCAATCAGCTGCTCTGAACCTCTCTCTCTGAGAGTGCACTGGAAAAGGGCAATTATACCTCTCATGCTCTCTGCCCCCCAGCATAGCCACATGAGGGCAAGTATAATTTGGCCCAAATAATTTGATTTGTTTTTAATGGCTTGTGCCACATTTTTACTTTCTGCATTCGGGTCAGAGAATAATGACTTTGTGGCTATCACTTCTGTTCATGATTAATCTCTGGTGAATTTCATTTTTGTGGCAGCACAGTGTTGCCTTCCCTGGCTTACAGCCACCTTGGAGAAATATTTACTGATGGGGAAAAAAATAAAGGCAAGAGGTGGTCCATTGGGATGTTAAAACAATCCATGAAAAAATTCATGAATTCCAAACAGAGGTGGAATTGGCCAGTATTGTGCCTTGGGCAGTACCACTGCAGCAGCTGGATGTTTGCTGCTGCCAAGGGAGATGTCACTTCCTTTTTTGCTGTTGACATGCATGCTGAACTGCCCCCAAAATGCTGGTTTTCATCAGCAAAAAAAGTAGGTGATGTCTTTAGTAGCAGCAGCAAACCATCAGGTATGTGCTATGGCCCCTTCTCTGCCCTCCCTGGAACTGAGCTGCTGCAGGAAAGGTGCAGGGGGGAAGGAGGGTGGGGAGAGGAGGTGATGGGGCACTGGAAGGTGAGACACCCTCTTAGCTCTATTCTGGGCCCCTTATGCCATATGTGCCCCACTTGCCCACCCACTGTTATGCTACTGATGCAATATTGCCAACTCTCATGATTTTTGGCATTGTTCTTAAAGTCTGTGCTCCAGGAATGTGAAAAACTTAGCTATATATATAGCTGTGAGTGTAGTTCTTTATATATATATAAAAAGAACTACACACACACACATTTATATAAAAGAGCTAAGTTTTTCACATTCCTGAAGTGTAGACTTTAAGAACAACGCAAGAAATCATGAGAGTTGGCAATACTGCTGTTGCTGAATTTTTCCAAAAGTGAATTTTTGAGGCCAGATTTGACTCAACACTTTTGCATGATCTGAATTGCCTATTTTTTTTTTCAGAAAAATTGCAGTGTTCGAAACCAGCTTCTCTCATTTTACATACAAAATGTTTTTGGAGGCCTCAGTATTGGAAGTGACAAGCTGTACGTTGCATTGCTTCAGACCCTCCAAGACAACTTGAACTACTGTGTGAGTACAAGCTTAGAAACTAAATGACCCTGACTATTCAGAGGGCTAGGAAAGGTTTTTAAAACATACTTTCAGCATGCAGCTTGTAAGGAATGATTCAGATCCTAGCAGCCTGGGGGGTAACAGAAGGACCTTGAGGAACACTCAGCCTCCCTAGCTATTCCCAGTTGAACAAAGGGAATTTTTTTTCTTCACCCAGTTCAAGGTATAACATTTCCCACACTTGTCCAGCCAGCTATGCTATGCTGGGCGTGTGGGAACGGGAGAGCCATAAAACATAACCCACTGTTTACCTGTAGCTCCCAATGATGTGGTACCTCTACTGCTGATGAGCACTAAAGCTACATAGGGTAGAGTTGGATTCTGTCCTATGCAGAAGATTGTGCTGTTCCCATATCTAAATCACTCCCTGTGAAGGAAGCCTGAAGACACTGAGGGCTTCTTCTTTCCCTGAGACAAGGTGCCTCATTCCACTGACACAGAATAATATCTGACATGTGTTCAGACTTCAACAAAGTACCAGTCAGGAGCATGTAGTTCTTTCTTACATTCCACCCCTAGTTGATCAAAAAAAACTTTAATTCTGAAATAAATACTTGCTGACAAAAATGAGGAGATTCCTAATGTAGTTTGAAATGCTTAGCACTTTGCTAGTTAGGTCTAAGCTAGGAGTGCTCTACTCACTCGGATAGGAATATTAATCAACTCTACCAGTAAAAACCTTTTAGTATAGATGTAACTGTACAGACAAAGGTATGCTATGTACCAGAATGGGAAACTACCACCATAGTTGAAACCCCAGATGCTTTTTTGTGCTTTAAAACCATAAACTTCACAAAAATTCACTTACAAATACAGGGTTTTCATTTAAAAGTGGGAAATTTCCCACAGTTTTCTTAATAATATTTTAACCTGAAAAGTAAGAGAGAGAGAGGGAAAGAGGGAGAGGAGAAATCAAGGAAGTGTTACATAACAAAAATCTTGTCAAATATCATCTCTTAGTAAATGTATAAAAAGCGGGCATTAGCTCCACATGCCTACAGGCATTTGCAGTATAACCTAATTTGGGACAAGGACTTCCTTGCTGCTCTACAGCTCAGCCAAAACTTGTTCTAAATGCTTGCACCAACTTAATTGATTACAAAAATCAAAGGGAAAACTCTCCAGATACTCAAGCTCTATAGGTAAGGGTTTTCTAAGCATATGTATATTATAGCAATTATAATACATATACACACATATTATAATACATATATGCACACACTTTATTATGCTGCTTTTCCTAATCTGATGGATCTTTGACAAAGTCACATTTACTTTTAAGAAGCAATTATGCCATTACGGCCATCTACATATGCCACAGAAGTTAAAGTACCAGTCATGACTGAAGTGTGAACATCAGTTACTACTGAATATTCAGTAGTATTTACTACTGAATATCAATGCTTATGACTATAAGTTATGAATACCTTCAATCTTGTGCTGTATAACTATGGAGACAAAATGCACTGGATTTTCAAAGGATTATTTGTTTTTTTTTGCAGCTTTGGGGCTTACTAGATAAAAATATAAATGTTTTAGAGCTTAAATGTCTGTATCTGAAAGGTATTTAGGGGAGGGAAAGGTCCCCCTCCCTTTTGTAACTGAAAACCAACATGCGTTTGAGAAGAAGATTTAAATTAGCACTCAGGGTTTACTCTAGGTCAACATTTCTTGTTTTGGTGACTTCTATTGATTTTTTTAAAAGTATATATTTATACAGATTTTAAAACTATGCATAATGATAATACAGACTATAGCTAAAGGGCAAAAAAAAAAAAGTCAGTATTTTATATAAACAATAGTCCTACATTTCTATACCACTTTACCTCACCTCCCCCAAATTTAGCAGTCTCACAAACCTTTCACATGTGCATCCAATAACACAATAGGGTGGAGGTGAGTGGGGTACCATCTCTGGGTGCCAACTTAAAGGGGTACCGGAATGGGTGTGATCATAGGAGCTTGGATGTGGGGACACCTGGGGCAGGTGATATCACCCTCCTCTCCCCCCTTCCCCTCCACACCCAAAGCACAGAGGAGTTTAGCTCAGGGCATGAAACTCATTAGTTGAGCCCCAGTGTGCATCTGTTTTTTGCTTTGGATAAAATATATTCTTTGCATCTTGATAAGCTCTTATTTTTGTTACTTACCTTGAAAATAGGATGTGCATGAAAAGGAAATTTGGCTCTGCACATAATGCACACAAAGATGTTATCACTACAAGCATCAAGTTTGTTGGACAACTAGGCCAACAGTAAAAAACTCCCTTTATTGTCTTCTGTAGTTCAGAAAAACCATATCATTATTACAGTTCTGACTCAGCCAGTACAACATGAATCCTCTCTATTTATAAAAATACATTATTACATATGATTAAAAATCAGTTGGTAAATCAGTTTTGTCATACTGCAACTCTTATGCCAGCAGCATGTTTTTGTCCAGTAGCCTACAGCTAACATTTTCAAAAGCACCCAAGTCAGCAGTTCTCAACATTTTTAGAGTTAAGGTGTCCTTCACTAACTTTAAGGCACTCCTCAGGTCAGGGCTGGGTTAACCATTTAGTGGGCCCTAGGCAAAGAAGCTTGTGGGCCCTGGGCTGGTTGAGATGCTCCCTCCATACCCTGGTGCTACCACCAATGGGGAGTGGGGCTCGGAGCAATGAGGCTGGTGGAGGCAAGGGAAAAGGAAGGGAAGGGAGGCGAATGGGGCCATTCATGTGACTGCTGTGGAGGGAAGGACTACCCCCCTTGAACCTCAGGGCCCTAGGCATGAGTTTGCCATGTATTAATTTGACACTGGCTGTGGTACTTTCATTGAGAATCACTGACCTAAGTGACTGAGGAGCCTAAATACCACTTCTACAAGTGACCTGGGCACCTTGGACCAGAAGTTCCATTAGCTTCCAATAAGACAACAGCT